TCTTAAAACTTAAATCTTTATCTTTTTCTCTTATTTACTTAGGAAACTTAGTCAAGTAGCTTGCCAGTAGGTTGCAACACCTGAAATTTACTGTTTTATGTCAACTCTGAGTGGAATTTTTATGAAAAATTATAACTTGTGTTTTTTTGCATATAATAATTGTTATTAATATTTGTATGTTTATTCTTGTCATATATCTAAAATAAATTACTTTATTTTGAGAAATCTGACAAGACCACAAGTTCTTTTCACATTCATGACCAGAGGAGTGTTTCATTAATTCTGATTTCCTTCTGCAAGATCTTGTGGGACATGACTTTTATGAGATTAAGCTGGCATTAATCTCATGAAGCAGGTTCTTACAAAATGGTGGAGAATGTGGCGGGCAGAAAGGCTAATCTGATTGATGAAATATGAATCTGTTATGAATCTGAAAAAATTAATTTTTTACACGTTGGCATGAGTTTTTTTTTACAGTGTAAAACGGCTTTGCTTGGTGTTCAGAATACAGTTTTGAGGAGCTGCAGACCTTAATTCTGTTAAAATCTGTTTATCCTGGTTAAAGTTGTTTGTTTTTAGAACCCGCTGAGGTTCTGTTTCTGTCTCGCCGCCGCGCGAAGACAGGTGGTTCTGCTCGCCACCGCGCGTAGCAGGTTCGGTTCTGTTAAGCTGCGCCGACAGCTCTGAAAGCAGTAACCGTGTTGTTTTCGCTTGAGAAGCGATATTGCATGCATGTACTCACATCTGCGGATGAATGAGTGAAAAAGGGGTCCCTTTCTTTGTAAATCCAGTTTGTTCTACCGACGGGTTTTTTGAACGTAAAACTGGTCTGGTTCGTGCGTAAAACGCGTAAAGGTAACCAGTGAACTCCGCGACATAAGGCTTTCTGAGGTCGCTACTTAGAAGCTGTCGACACGGTTTATAGAAATAAACATAACGTGAGGGAGTTATCAGCGCTGTTGGAGGCTAAGAAACTCTGTGTTTTGTGCCGAGGCGTTATTCAGACAGACAGTCTGATCCACACGAAGCTGTGTGGAATAGCACTGCGAGTGCTAACAGGGGAGCTAACTGTTTATTCAGTATTAAAGCTGCCGCGAGCAGGAGCGTCTTGCCCTGTTGTTCCGTGAGAGTCACGGGTCAGCTCATAAATCGTGTGCCTTGTGTTGGGGGTGCGTGGAGCTGAGTAATTTACGCTGTTGGAGCGTAAAAGACGGAGGTTTTGCTCCGTGTTGGCGAAGCTACTGCTAGTTACTGAACGGGGTAGCTGCCATCTTGACGCACGGCGTCAACAACGTAGGTAGCGTAACGTCATTACGTCAAGACGTGCCTACGTCACAACGTGATTTCCCCCGAGGGAGGGGGAACGTCAGAGGTTCTTTTCAAAGCTGTGTGATCANGTGCCATTCCACATTATTACAAATAACTTAATTTCTGGACATTTATGGTTTGATTTCTTTGTATGTATGGATCATTTGGGTTGTTACCAACATCTGGTGAAAATTTCATGTTATTAGCACGTCTAGTAATATATTTACTGAGAAAAATGGTGACATGTTCAATACTTGTTTTACCCGCTGTATACGTGAATATGCAGCTGAAACAGGAAGACTAGTGCATCCCCAAATATTTCTTAATTAACATGTTAATATAACATTATAGTCATTGTAGCCTTTAGAAAAATGTTTTTTTGGGAGGTCACCTTCCAATAAAGGTAGGTTTAGAGAATCTAACTTCTCACTTTTACTTTTAATACTCAACTTTTTCACTTAAGTACAGTAAATATCAGATACTTTGACTTTTACTCAAGTAATATTCTTAGAGGAGACTTTAACTTTTACCAAAGTAATTTTATGGTTCACTCAAGTACCACTTTGAGATACTTTATATAAAGACTGCTGGACAAATTACAAATAAAAATTCAGCTTGTAAAACTAATTCACTATTAAAACCAACACAGTTCAACAGCTATGTGGTCTGAACACATAAAATACAGGTTAATTCTAAGTGAATTTTACAAACCCGAGCTAAAATTTGGTGAAGTTGTAGCTAAGAGCGAGTCACAATTCAAATTTTCATCTAAACATTTTTTATTTAGGTTCTTTTAAAAGAAGTGTCAGATAATAAGACCATTTTGTGGTCAAAAATTGTTGCACATGCACAAACACAAAGCAGGTCAAGCTCACTAGTTTTTCGGGAAAACGCAAAGGTTGCTATGGAAAGGCATTGGAAATGAACAAATTAATACGTCATTTTACAGACTTGATGTATTTGAACTATACTGATTCATGTTAAACTTCCCTTTAAGATCATAGATGAGATTTTTCATAAATATCTAAACTATAAATCTGCTTTGTGACCTTGCTGAATTTGTATAATTCCAATGGTGTTTTCTTAGCAACCTCAGCATTTCAATGGCTGACCAGTGAATCATAAGAGTTAAGCTTCGCTAGTTCTTGTACCTCCAAAAAGGTATATTATTTAATGTCTGCACATGCTAACATGTAGCACCCATGTTTACTCCTGTAAACATCAAGCTGAATATGTCCCATTATCCTCTGCGCATGCAAGTCACATCAGTGCTGGAGAATTCACACAGGAATCTAATGAAGGTTGCATTTAAAATATGATGTGTAGGGATGTGGATACATTTTTAATCCTACACCAAAATTAAATCTGACAACGGATTCCAAAAGAACATTTCAAACCCTACAAAATAACACCAAAATCATGTGATTATCTGAAGTATGAGGGAAGTTATTGATGTTTGTTTAGGTGAAATCTGCTCATGTTTTCTTGCTGCAGTTCACAGCAGAACCAATGGGGCCTTTGTGACCATTTCACCTTGCTGTTTTCTAATTTTGCTCATAACTTTCCTAGTGTTCAAGATATCGCCATGAAATTTTAGGAAAAGATTCCCCATTCTGGTTTTGTATGAAGCATCTTGTATCTTAAAAAAACTAATAAAACTTGTGCAAATGTAGCAGAAAAGGTATAAAATAATATTACAAGGGAAACTGCACCGTCAAATCAACTTAATGTGTCTTAGAAAGCAAGGAAATTAAAACAATGTGGACATTGTTTTGTAAACAAAGCTCCTCAACCAATGACAGCGTGTTAAATGTGCCAGGTGACGAAGACGAGCGTCAACACACTTTGCAACAAGCACTGTTCCAGATTTAAAAAAAATACTTCCGACGTTTCAAATCATTATCAAATTTGGAACAAAGGCAGATAAAATAATGTTCTTCATGACAGCTTATCTCTTTAAGGGGTCACTAGAAAAAACTCGGGTGATTTACTTTGATCCTCTTTTCAAAAAAAATTGTCTCTTCAAAATGCATCAACAAAAATTAAAAACTCAAAGACGAGGCTGTAGCTAACTACCTGACTGCAGCCCGATTTGTTGAAATTCATTAAAATAAAGAAGCAGGAGGAAATAACCGAGCAGCCTTGCAAAATCTGGTCACAGCAGTTTGGGAAGAAAATAGCAGCTGCTGACAAGATGTCAACATCCCTACAATGTGAACGTTCACTCACACACACACACACACACACACACACACACACAATCAGATTTGAGCATCAAGACCTACAGTGTGAACTTAGGCCAATACTATGGGATTCCTTGTTATTGTCTCAGGATGATGATGTCATAACATGAGCCAAGAATTGCAAAGGCTGTTTCATTCCTAAATAAATGTAAGCTTCATCAACAACATTTAAGATTTAACTTTTACTTTTACACATTTAGATTTAGGATTTAATACTTGTATATATTATTTAACATTTTGTAAAAAATAAGAATAAAAATAGCAAAATGTAAGAACTAAATAACAATAAAATGTTAGTGGAAAATTTCTAACTAGGATTTTACTCAGAAAGTTATCTAAGTAATGACATTTTTTTAATGTTAATTTTACATTTGGCCCCCTACAGGTCAATAATGTGACACGACTTCAGCAAGTACTTTGTGTACATTCAATGCATACCTGCATTTTAGAATCGCATATCACTCTATCTATAAAACTACTGGAGTAAACATTTTTAAAAGCACTATTCTGTATAGTTCAGGATAACAAATATTTATTCTATATGTTTAAAATAATTTCCTTAAGATGTTCGAACTCTTTCAATTAGACTCTTTTGCAGGTTTAAAGTTGTGTTTGTAGCTTTATGTTTATTACAGTCATGTTAGCAGAGAACTAGTTCTGTTAAACTTACATCTTCTCCTGGTGGTTCAGCCCTGTCTGGACCCAGGGAGGGAGTGACTTCCAGCCCTCCTCTGAAGACTTTCAGACATCAGTGAAAGATGAGGAACTGCTCTCTAGTAGCCTAAAAACCACCGAGGGGGAGACAAAGAAAGGCATGAAGTTCGACGCCGAGTGGAGGAAACGCAAAAAACCCGACTTCACAGCTGTGAAATGTGCGTCTTTCGGTGCGCGTTTGTTTCCCAAATAATCACTTCTTGCCGCGGTAAGTTGAGCTCAGTTTGCCTTTCAGGTTTTACATCTTTCAAACTGTGCTGCACGTCAAGTCAGCTGCACAGAAATGATAAAATTGACAAACTTATCATATGTTTGCTGAATAATTTACCTGTGTGGAATCGTTTCCGCTCGACTGATTGTTTGGTTGAGTTATGAACTGTAATAACATGATAAAGTGGAAGATTTCTGAAGGAGGACCGAGATCAAAGACAAAGCTGCTGGCAGAGGCTCATTAGGGCCACACACCTGTGAAAGATATCATAATCAGTGGCGGAGCCAGACATTTTTCTCAGGGGTGGCCAGACTGGGACCACTACTCACACAGGGGTGGCCAGACTGGGACCACGACTCACACAGGGGTGGCCAGACTGGGACCACGACTCACACAGGGGTGGCCAGGAATATTACATCATTTTTTTAACTTGAAAGTTTCTGCAGATATTTGTGCTTTGGTCATTTCCTTATGTCCTTATACAGGCAGTATACCTTTTAAACATGGGGTCAGAACCATTTTAAAAAGGGGGGGACATACTGTTGGTGGGTGGTCTGGGGGTCCTCCCCCAGAAAATTTTGAATAAAATAGATGCCATTTCCTGCATTCTGGCGTATTTTACCAATTTTTTAAAAATATACTCTTACCTACATAAATAAACACTTGTCAAGTGTCAAGTGTCAATAGAAACAACAAAATAAGCTGTTTGGCAGTTGTAGAGAAGATTTGGCAAAAGTTTCATGTTTGCAACCCACATACTCATCTTTACTGCCCATCCCACAAATGCATGTTCCTTACAAATGTGGCACCAAAGGGAAAGTTATAAGCATTCAAACAGTATAAGATTTATTGCCAATAAGCATTGTTGCAAAAAAAAATAAAAAAATCTACCAAACACGAATTTCCTTCATTTTTATGCTAAGTTTCTTTATTATATTGGTATTTTATGTTGTGATAACAAAATGTCCTCAATGTGTGATGATGTCATTTGTCAGAATGACTGCAGAAAATAGGTAAATATGAACACTGTTTAGACTAAGTAGGGTTGGCATAATCGTATCGTGTGCAATTAATCGTCAGAAAAACATTAATCGATTATTTTTTTTGGCACTTGACGATTAATACGATTAATGCCACCAGGCAGAGTCGGCTCGGTGCTCCTCTCTGCTTCAAATATGACAAACATTAAAAAAATTCTGTAATTTATTTATCAACACTATTTAAAATCTGATGTATAGCGTGGTCTGTAATTTTGACACAATTTGGAACAGATTTTTTATGAAGAGCGAATCTTTCCCACTAAATTGGTCATGTGACCAGGACATAAGGGTGTCCAGGGGATTAATCGTCAAATTAATCAATATCAGCTAAATACCACAATTAATCGTGATTAATTTTTTTGCCAATATTGCCCAACCCTATGACTAAGTGTATTTCAGATTTCAGGCATGAATATATGTAGACTACTATGCTTAGCAAAATACTGACTGAGCATGTGCATTAGTAACTGTAAAAAGTTCAATGTGAAGTATGCCTGAACTCCAAATAAGACAACTTTTCTTCCCTATTTCACCTGCATCGTATTGTTTCCCATGTATATACAGTGTTTTTAATATATATTTTTGTTTTATTTCATCCACATCGTGCAGTGTTCCGCTATCAAATGACATGGTGCACTATTTACAATCAAGCTGCATGTTTTGATGTATTTTTGTGAGTTTTTTTCAAAGCTTCAAGAGTAATAAGACCAAAGATAGAATAGCAACAGATGAGAGGTTTTCGATGTTTGTGTATTAGCAACATTAAATAATAAAAATAATGTGTTGCTTTCTGTATTAACTCTCACTGCTCTGCTGCAGCTGAACACACAGACACCGAGGACCCTCAACTCTGACATCCAGTATCCAGCAGCTGGTGATCTGAAGATGAACATCATACGCCTCCATTACAACGTCACAGGAAAGCTAGACCACCGGTTGAACAGCAGCACAAACCCTGGCACCGTGGATGTTCAAACCATTGTATTTCTCATCATTTGTAGCTTCATCGTCCTGGAGAACCTCACTGTTTTGGTGGCCATATGGAAGAACCACAGGTTCCACAACCGAATGTATTACTTCATTGGGAATCTGGCGCTGTGCGACCTGCTGGCAGGAGTATCCTACTTGGTTAACCTGCTTCTATCTGGAGAGAAGACCCTGGAACTCTCACCCACTCTCTGGTTTATGAGGGAGGGCAGCACGTTTGTAGCACTCAATGCGTCCATCTTCAGTCTCCTGGCCATTGCTATAGAGAGACACCTGACTATGATCAAAATGAGGCCTTATGACGCCAACAAAAACTACAGGGTGTTTCTGCTCATTGGGACCTGCTGGCTGATTGCTATATGTCTAGGAGCTTTACCCATCTTAGGCTGGAACTGCATAGACAACCTCCCCGACTGCTCCACGGTCTTTCCTCTTTACAGCAAGAAATACGTCGCTTTCTGTATCACAGTTTTCATGGTTTTGCTTTTATCCATGTCAATTCTATATGCCCGCATCTACATCCTGGTAAAGTCCAGCAGCCGCAAGGTGAGCAAGCACAGCAACTCGGAGCACGCAATGTCCCTTCTTCGGACCATCATCATTGTAGTTGGGGTCTTCATCGCTTGTTGGACACCCCTCTTTGTCCTGCTCCTGGTGGACGTGGCCTTTGCGTGGCGCTGCCCCATCCTCTACAAGGCCGACTGGTTCATCGTGGTGGCCGTTCTCAACTCTGCCATGAACCCGGTCATCTACACTCTGGCCAGTCGTGAGATGAGACGGGCCTTTCTGGGCTTGGTGTGTGGCGTTTGCTACAAGGCGACGGTTTCCGGGAATGGCAGCGGGAACAGGCGGTCCTTGGAGCCCAGCCGCAGTCGAAGCAAGTCGTGGAGCAGCCAGAACAACCCAAACCAGAACCAGCAGGGCTGCAGGCAGGCGGAGCCGCAGCAGGGGCGGGAAGCAAATACAGAACCCAGCGACGTCTCGGCGGCGGCCGGAACAAGGAGGGGAGCTGCTCAGGGAGGCCTGGGGAGGGACTGACAACACAGAAGAGTGAAAGTGATGTATCTCCTGAGGGACTGTCTGTGAAGCTGATGAGGTTTCTCTCATGGCCGGAGAGATCCATCTGTCTCCACATGATCATGTTACAGATAACTCTGCTTAAACTAAGACATTTCAAAACCGGGTGGATAAAAGATGAATTATAATAAAGCTGGAAAATGCTCATGACTGGTTCACACATGAGGGTTTTCAGCACAGCAAGAATACAGTTCTACAGTCTTAAGTCCAAGGAGCCAAACTTTTTATCATCCAGGGTGGCCTTGGTATAAAAGCTCTATCACACAACATATGCCAACTTATGAAACGTGTTTTTTGACTAAATACTAAACTAATAAATAAAACTAATAAAAGGTGTATATTTCATCAATTTGTTAACACTGCAGTATGTACATGCCTAAAAGAGGCTTCCAGTTGATTTTTTTCCAATTCCATCTTTGACGTAGATGTCTCAAATATTTTCATAAGTTGTCTAAAATGTTATAGTGTGACAGGGTCTTAAGGTTTCTTACTGCTTTCAATGTGTTTCTTTGGACTTTGGCTGCTTTTTGCTGCTAATTTTCAGTCTAGTACCCAATCTTTTTCAGAACATTTAGTTTAGTTTTTTTTTTTAAGCAACTAAACTCTGACCTATGAATCATTCAGGCATGAAAAAGCAATGTTATGTTGAAAAAAAGGCACATTTAGGCACCCTTATTAGTAGTCTGTTATTAAAAACACAACAAAAATCTGAAACCAAAAGGAGTATTTTTGCACAAAAAAACAGCCTAAAAACGTTTACATAAAATATTACATTAAATGTTTAGCATAATGTTATAAAAATAAGGAGGGTTTAAAACAAATTAAAAGAAAAACCAGTCACAATTAGTAAAAAGTGCAATAGTAGTTGAACAAATACAATGTCATGACTGACTGTAGACAATAAGACCGCTGACAGCATTTATGATTTTACATATTTTGTTGTTTATTTTGTATTTCCTTGTTGTCATTGTTACTACGTATATTGTTAATGGAGATAAAAACCTTAAACTGAAACTTTCTCTGTGCTGTAATATTACTGGTGTCAGGGCTCCCTCTGCTGGTCATATATGATACTGCTGCACATTCAGTCTAAAAAGTCTTGCACGTTTAGAAAAATAAAAGTATTATGAATGCATGAAAGAAACATACCAGAGATTTGAGACGCATGAGAATGCTGCATGTGAATAAGAAAACAACAATGTAAAATACACATTTTAAAGACTTTTTGTGGTGGAAACAGAATAATTTGCACATCTTTTTCTGAAAACATGTTTTTCTTTTGGTACGGTTCTCAATTCAGAATTGATTTCCTGTCTTTCTTTTTTTATTTCATTTGAAAATACTAAAAATTAGTTTATCTCAATAGTTTGGGGAAATATATTCAATCTTTAAAAAAGGGTAAAAATGGGCAACTGTTTTGCATATTTTCTACCTTACAGTATCAATTCTTTGAAATGATCAAAATGTCTTACAGCTTATTTCGGTGATGGAAATTCTCATTCGTTGCAAACTTGTCACTTTGAAAAAAAAATAGCACAGACATAGTTTTGTAGCAACCTTTTCCAGATTACCTTATAATTGCGTCTTTGTGTGACGAATGGGAGAATCAGCCAATCATCATGCAGCTCCCAGAGGCGCCTCTTATGAAAGCTATTTTCAAACTTTTATAGACGGAGCAAAAAAAAAAAGTCTTACAATTTATAAGAATATGAGAAAACAGGTCACAGTGTGTTATTAAATGTTGACACAAACATTAAAACTAAATGAGAATCATGACCTGTCAGTTATTTTAGCATTAAGTCATATATAGAAAAAGTGCAATGTTGTTTATTTTTAATCAAAATAGTAATTAAAGTTTACATTTTAAAGTTTTTTTTACATGAGCAACAAACATGTGTGACTTGATTTCCACAAAGATTTCAAGACAGTTAAAAGCTTTTGAGTGTAATATTTTGTTTGTACTGTTTAAAATTTGAGTTGATGACTCAAAGTCATACAAATGATTGTGATTATTTGTTTTTCTGTTTATTTTATGTTGTGTAATTCTGTCAGTAATGTCTTACTTCCCCTACCAAGGACAGCAGAGGTTTATTGTAGATGTACTAACTCTTGTTTTTGAGAATAGATTTCTCTTCATTAAAATCAAACTTTGATAAACAAATGTTTGTTACACAGATGAAAACATGAAGATTAAACTGGCATTAAAGCTTTTTTTATTTCACATGCATTGTTATTGTTAATTGTGATTGAATATAATTGTTTTTTTTTACTTGTTTACTGGGTCATGGTTGTGTTTTAAAGAAGTTGCTGGTGATTTACTTCACTGTGGGAATGTTTAGATATACTGTATATTTCTTGTTTTAATAGTAGTCTGCAAAATATTGAGAGCAACAAAGACTTTTTTGTTAATATGTAGTTTGCAGAACTGAAATGTTTTTTTTTTCATTATGTGAACAGTTTTTAAATGTTATTTGTAAAGAAAAGCAGAATGTAACTTGACATGAATGAAATTTCACATGTGCACAATTTTATTACCACCAGTTTGGCTTAAATATATTAAACATATACAACTTGATTAAACACGTGTAAGGATCATTTAAACAAGTTACTGTTTTAGTTGATTTCTGAAAGGCTAATATTTACAGTAACGATCGACCTGAGCAAAACATGTTCCAAAAAGTATTTTGCTCAAGTTAAACTTTAAGGAGACAAAAAACTTAATTAAATAACAAAATTAAATCATCATATTAAAGGTTTTTTATTGTTCATCTTATATTCCTTTATTCTGTTGTCATGCAAGACTTTAAAACAAGGTCTAAAGACCATAAGTCATGACAAATTAACATTACACAGCAGATGGAGGATTGTTTTTTAATGCTGACATAAACCCAAGACTGCAGATTGAACACAAGGAAGTTGAGTAAAAATTTCAAATTTTATTTACAAAAGAAAAAAAGGCTGATATGGCAGCAAAACAAACCTACAAAAATAAGAACCTGACGTGGAAAATCTCAGGAGGCTGAATGGACATGAGTTGAAGAGAGTGGGCAAAATGACAACTGTAGGTGGGCGTGGCCAGCCCGAGGAGAAAACACTGATGAATGAATACACACAGACTAAACAAATAAAAGCAGAAAAGGTGTTGAGGTTCTTGGGAGTGACAAGGATGGATGAGCAAAGGAATGAGATGATCAGAGGTGCAGCACAGGTTGACTGACTGGGAGATGAAGCCAGTGGCCAGACTGAGACAGTTTAAAGGTGCAGAGGAGGACAGAAGGATGTTAGAGATGTGATCCTGCCATATTCACACTGAGAAGTGACAGCAACTGGGTCACCATTATATACACGTTTTTGTCTAATTCATGCACTCTTGTTGACTTATGTGCAAAGCTAGATTTTGTCAGAGTATTTCTATTTTTTAAGTTTTATGTTACAACTGTGGCCTGCAGCTTATGGTTCTTTGGCTTTGACCAACAAATAACATGGAAATAATGCTTTTTATTAAGGGAATAGAAAAGGACACTTTTAGAAGTTGCTCCTGACTAATTTAATCAGTTTGAGCTAATAGCTCGTTATCCACTTCCTGGGATTTTTCTCTGAAAATAAATGGAAAAAAACATAATATATCTGAGTTTGTTGAAATGGGAAAAAAAAGAAAGTGAGCAGTTCTGCACACATCCTATGACAGGTGATTAGAAAGGGAATACTTCCCTTAGAAAAAATTAAGTAAAACCAAATGGTTTCTGCCTTTATCTGAAGAAATTCTCTAAGTCGCAGTTACAATCACCCTATTTTAATATTCATTCTAATAATTTATTAGGCTTTAATCATTTACTTTTTGAAAAAGCGTATTTGTTCATTATTGAGCTTAATAAGTTTGGTCTTTTTTTTCAAAAGTAACACCAAAATATAAAGCCCAGCACATTTTATGTGGAATATTTANATGTAATATCTTTATTTAAACCCTCAAGTATGTTCTGTGGCTTTGAATAAGTTATGTATATATATAAAAAAAGATTAATTTCAAAACCCTGCAGCATGGACAACAAGACCAATTCTACACATTCACATATTTATTGCCAACAGTCATACAGAAGAATGACAAACCCATACAACTAAAAGATTAAACATCTGTAAACATCATTTGGACTTGTTTCTATTTCTCTTTTTTTATTTTACTTTTTATTTTTTCAGTTTACCTGTCCCAAAATAGTGAGCTTCTGTGTGACTCCCTCTGACAAAAAGAAATGTATTTATAATCTGGAAATGATACATCTATAATACATATCAATAGTGAGGGAGGGAAACGGAAAGAGACCAAGGTTTAGAGGAAACATTAGTCTCAAGCAGCAACACGCAGCAGGGCAAAAACACAACCTCAAGTGAACAGGCATGCCCCATTGAAGATCAGCTATTGCACGTTGAAGGGAGAAAGAGAAAGAAAAACACCATATCTGTAGAAATAAAAGGCACATTTTCATGAACTGAAATTACAAAAAGAGGCCATGTTCTTATCAGTGTCTCAGGAGGGGTTGGGGGGATTTAATTTCTTTTATGTTGCGAAGTGAACTGCGGTGTTATCAGTGAGTCGAGCCTGGAGTGGTTTTCTGTTCATGCAGTTTCCTAAACTTATCCTACAGATAATGTAGAGACTCAGAATTCTTAAAACTTGAATATGTTAAAAACACAACCAGGACTTCATTTCCTCTCAGAAGGTGGTGAAGTTATGTAACAAACATTAAATATAACAACCTTTGATAAGATTCCCAAAACGTCTTTACGGCCAAAGATCTTGCAGCAAAACACAGGCACATTATATTACATTGCATCGGTCTAAGTTCAACTCATATGCTTATTTTGGTTCAACTGAAGTGGTCCAGTGCATTTCAAACACAATGCCCTGTTCATTTGGTCTCCATCAGAATCCTGACAAACGTAAAGGTGAAACCACTGAAAAAGGGGCTGATTTCTGAACTGGGGGCAGTTTTATTGTACCAGAAAGTGAATTAGTTTGCTTTCTTACAAAAAAAATAAAAAAATAAAACAATGTATGACCTAAAGACTGAGGGATAATTGTGTAAATACAGGAGTAAAATGTAAATAAAGTCTGACTTATCAAGTAAAAATGGTTGAAAATCAGCTTCATGTTCAATTGAGAGAGCTGAGGTGGTGACATCTAGTGGTTAAAAATGTGAAAAAGAAGAGAACCGTTGAACGCAGCTGAATACTCTGAGTGAACGCAACTTTGTTCTAATTACTTCTCGCCACGTTGGCAGCTGGTCTAAATACAACTTACACAGAGGTTTCCATTGTGCTATTCATTTGTGGTCAGGTGAATGAAATTCAGATATTTAAAAGTTCACTGAAAAGCAGACTGTTAAATAAAAATAATAATAAAATTACCTGCATGAATGACTCCAGCACCAAAAAAAAAAAAAACCCAARAAAMAAAMAAAAAAAAAAAAACTAATCACCGACTAAAAACACCAAATAAAAAGAATTCAGAGAAAAAAACCATTCAACATAATCACCGGTTGAAAAGCAGAAATATTTTACAGGTTCAGCGTACACAAGCACCTCTTTCAAATAAGGGGTATCGAGGTCTACAAACATGGCCACAAGAACGGTTTCATTTGAAGTCATGCGACTGCAGTGACACGAGGAAACGCCTCAGTAAAAACTCCGTCTCGGACGCCACGGGCAGCACGACGAACCGTGTCTGTCTGCCCCCACCGGACACTTTGTGAGAACTGCAAAGCAAAGACACATTCAGTTTTCATAATCACCAACAAAAAGCAGGTTCTGTGTGGACTATTTCAGTGAGCTTTAAGGACGCTTCTCCTAATGCAAATCATTAAAAACCGCCTTTCCGTTTCTTGAACCGTGAAGCCAGCAGCTCCTGTAGAAATACGCTTGTGCTTAACAGACAAAACTAAAACTTCTGAATTTTATTCTAAAATGTTCTCATGTCTCCTCTTTGAGGTTCGAGTCATCTAAACTACAACAATTCTTCCTTTTATTATTATTTTTTTAAAACACCAAATCAAGATTTTATGTCCAAATGCAGCCATTTCTTCTCAAAAATATAGCATTTCAGTCGTCACAACAAAATAAGAACAATTCTAGAAACATTTTTCTGTACTCTTAAACAAATCTTGTGTTTCCTAGCGACTCCGGTAAAGCGGGACAGTTCTGAGCACACCGGGCCCCTTTTTTAGGCATTGTCTTCTCATCTTTAAGTTCATGGTTTGGGAGACCCTTCTTCTTCTTCTTCTTTTTTGTTCTTTTTTGGAGCTTCCTGTTACAGTTTCCGCTCAACAGGCTGAAGCAGACACAGTTCACTCCCAGCTGACACAATTGGCAAATTGTTGTCACGGTGGTGGTCAATGAGGTGGCTAATGCTGTCAAATATATGATCTTTTGTCCGTACCTTGAAACAAAAGAGAGAGGAAAGATTTGGTTGTTGTTTTAGTCACATAAATGAGCTTTTTCTCCTCCAATTTATTAAAAACATCACAAATCAGTGAAACAAACTTGACACCCACTTTTATCCCTGTCTTACCGTGCCCTCAGGGTCCACCAACAGTAGATGTTTTGCAAGTCCGTTGTGCATTCCTGTCAGTACATAGGACCCTGGGTTGGTGGTGCTTGTGCGGACGAGAAAGTCTCCGTCGTTTTTGAGCAGTTTCTCAGCGTCTCGGCGGCTCATTTTGCCGTGGTACCACGTCTGGCCCTCCAACTCTTCCTGCGTGCGGAAGGCCAACGACCTGACTAGCAGGGGGCTCGAGTTGTCCACGGATGCTGCCTTGTGAAGACTGGACACCTGGCTCTGGCCCTGGGAGGACGGCTGGGACTGGGACTGAATGGCTTCCTCAAAGGGCTCTGGTATAGACGTGGACAGCGAGCACAGACATTTTAATTCCACAAAAACAAAGCTATATTTTAAAAATCATGTTTCGTCATCAACAGTTAAGTGGGACATGTTTTGAGTTTTGGGAGTGATTATTTCTGTTTTTTCGCCAATGAAAAATGGTTGCTAAATCCTCCATAAACTTTTCTTCTTATTTATTGTTTTTAATATTTATGTAACTATAATAATAAAATGTAACATTTTATTTTACACATTTCTATGTCAGTATCAGTCTTTATTTTCCCAGAAATATGAGAACTTTCCATTTTGTGAAAACAAACAAAAAATTCATACATAAAACAGGCAAAATGGTGGCTTATTGTATCATCATTGTAATTGTATAACTATTTGTTTCTTACAGATATTATCTTAGTGCAACACTCGGCTCACCAGACCGACCACAGCTGTTGCAGTCAGGTCATGATGCAACTTGGCATGAGTCAGATGTGGAAGCATAAATCTAATGTAAGCCTCGTGGTTTGACTTCATGTAACAGATGAAAAACGTTCACACATGGTGCAGTTCACTGCTCTGTTTGTAATAACAGCAGAGCTGAAGCTGGAGTTAAAATAGGAACAAGTAAAACTATATATGAACATTACAATTTTCTTCATATCTTCTTGGTGACATGATGTAATTATAAAAGCAGAGAGATGAAGCACAAGCTAGAATACCTCTTTAATTAAGAACTATTGTTAATAGAAAGGTGAAGATTGTATTCTTAAAACGGTTTAAAATGATCAGTCTTGAAATTAGAACAGATATAGGGACATTTAGCGATGACTCAACTATCTTGTCACTCTGAGCTGCATATATTCAGAATAATCACATTCAGTAAGTGGTTCAGATTTAGAAGTGAAAAGTCTAACTTTGAGTGATTAAAGGCAGTGTGTAGGATTTTGTCAATTCTTTTAGCCGAAATTGAGATAATCACTAATGACAATAATAAAAAAACATGTCTAATCATTGCAGACAAAGACCTTGTTTTATTATTTTTACCTTATAAAAAGCTGTTTATATCTCCATGGTCGCGGGTCGCCACTACAGGCAGCCGCCATCTTGCACCGCCATCTTGTCTACGAAGGCTCGTGAAGGACAAACTGCGGTGGCGGCGTCAAAAACGGTTTTAGTTGTAATACTATAAATGTAATATTTGTTGTCTGTCATTGTAGCTGGGATAATTTTACTTATTAAAGCTCATAATCTTACCACTTGAAACATCACTAGCCCTGAAGCTGCTGGTAGACATCGCGGTTGGAATTATCAAAGGTTTTTGACACCTGAGAGACACCGTAGCAACTCCTTTGCRTTTGGAAGGGGGGTGGGGGTGGGGGAGGACCAGGGAGGATGATTCAACCACTCAACCACTAGACGTTGCTGAAAACAACAAATCCTACACACTGTGCCTTTAAAATAAAAAACACCAGCGTCCCGGTCATTATTTTCCCCTTCATCTCTGACTTTAAATTAAACTGCATTAACGCCATCTCAGATGTAAAAAGTTCAATATTTTATGCTAAATTTCAGAAAGAAATGAGCCACCAGTAATGTTCTACCAGAGATATAAGACCTTAGACAAATTGTTTTGGAGCTGTGGCTCAGTTGCTAAAGCAGTCATCCTGCATCAAGTAAGTCCAAAGTTTGAATCACAACTAGAAATTCACAACATTATCAACATAATCGAATCTAAATGAACCAGTCTTACTCATGTCAAACAGGTCCTTCTGTGGGCTCTCTTTGGCGACAGCTGCCATGCCCTTTGTGACGTTTTCTGCTTCTGCTTGCAGAGCTGCGAGCACCTGGGCATCAATCTGCTGCGTGTTCACATACGTAGGCATCTCTCCCGGTTTCGGCGCCTGTCCTTTACTCTCCGGGAGCAAGTTGATATCAAATGAACCTGGACGTTCAGAGAAACATTCATAATCACACAGCTGAAGGATGAAAATGATGCAGGAATAACTCTCTCCTGCACAGGAACGCGCCCGTCTTCTTACCCTGCTGCAGAAAGACGGGCTTCCTTTCATCTGCCCAGCTGTCACAATGTCTCCCCTGGTAATACGTCTGATCCACTGAGCCTGGACCCATCTGATGAAGAAACACAGTCAATGTTAAAAAATATAGTTCTCAAATGAACAAACAGAAACAGTTACACATAAAAGAAGAGGTATTTTGTATTTTCCAGGCAGATAGTTCAATTCTACAACACAACCAAATTACCTTCAGTTGTATATATCAAAAATTAATTTGACGTTGCATCATCTAATGCCTTGAAATTGTCTCTGTAAAGGGGACCTATTATGCAAAATTCACTTTTTAAAAGGGTTTTTTACTCAACTTTGGGTGTGTACTTAAAAAACAGTCCTAGGACCAAAAAAATGCACCCAGGGGCATATTTACTATAAGTAAATGTATTTTTAATGTATATTAATGACAAATTTTATACTTCTGTCATTTTGTGATGTCACAAGCCGTACGACAACCCACCAGAACCTGCGTTCAGCCCCTTACCTAGCAAGCAACCACCGGGTGAGGCTCCACCTCCAGTATAAAAAGCCGTCACAGTTGTTGTTGTGCAATTCACAACAAGCCTCCAATAGGGCAATGGATAGTGTTGGACCAAAGGGTGGGAGACCAGGGTTTGAGGCTGGCACGGACACAATTTAATAATTTATTTTCATTTGTTATGAACACGTTTTCTCATGTACCTCTTTTGATTAGCTTATTAAAGCCTTGTTAAAGCCTTTTTGTTCGAGTTTCTGAGGTATTTTCACCACTGCTGCTCCCTGCTCTGGTAACAGCATGCAGAGTGAGGGCAGAGCAGAGGAGGGGGAGAAAAAAAAAAAGAAGAAGCTGCGACCACGACTCTGCCTCTGGGTCTGACTCAGGGTCTCATGGTTGTACAACGGAGCTTCTGCTATTATTAGCCATGCTAACGCTGGCTTTGGAGGGCGGAGTTAATGTCAACAGATTTTTGGAGGGCGTTACCAACRGAGCTCATTAACATAAACAGCTCTTCTGAACGGAARTCAGAGCAGGCAGAACTAGAAAATGGGAAATTTTATTATCTGAAAATTATTTTGTGCATTAAATTGAATGAACATGGTCTGGATAGCCCACAGACATACCATAAAAATTTCTAGGACCCATAATTGGTTTCCTTTAAGAACCTCCAACTGTTTCTGACACTGCCACTTCAAGCACATTTTCAAACAATGCTTTGGGGAGGGGTGCTCTGGGGGGTGGGAGCAGCCTGAGCTCCAGGGAGGAGCTTTGTACAAATAGGCAGTGCTTTGTAGCAGCAAGTGTTTAGGCAGCTCTAAATGGCTACCACAGAACATGCATGAATGAGTCGAAGCAACACTCTGGGTATGTTTTTCATGAGAGAATGACATTACAACACATGTAAAACTCAAGCTCCTGTTTGATCGTTTTTATATTAACGGCAAACTTTATATTTTATATTACTTTAAATTTATGATTACATTTAAAAGGTGAAAGATAATAATGCTTGTCCTGCCCATGAGCTGTTGGCTTTAAGCAATTTAGTTGGATAGCACAGTATTACTGAATTAAAATAAGCTGCTTTAAAGCCAGCATTGACCATAAACTACATCTCCCATAATGCATGTCGATTATGCTGGGAATTCCCTGTAGGGAAATGAGAGTATTCAGAATATATACAACATCTACTCACAACAGCTCATCAGTAAGTAAAACTATGTTTATTTTTAAAAGTATTTCTGTTCTATTTATTTCACAATTAGTCACTTGTGCACATAGTATTTTCAGTGTTTAAGAGGATGTGTTAAATCGCTGTTTCTATGCAGGAAATACCACTTAGAGCTCAGTTATTTGTTAGCAGTGCTCAGGTGTAACAATGAGATGAGGAACATGGCGTTTCGTGTTTAGTTGAAGTTAAGCATGAAACATCAAAGTTAATTACAACTGGCCCTTTGATTCGGTGAAAATGGGTTTGACACCCTGCATTATAACATGATATAAAGCTCAGACAAGTTTTAGATTTTAAAAAGTTGCTTTTGCACGTTACCCCCCACTTTAAAACTGAGGTTAAACTTCCCTTTTATTTCTGTATTTTTATAAATCATTTATGAGAGTATTTTTTTCAAGAGATCCCACACAGTTGTATCTTGAAAACTGATTTAACAAATTGTGAAAATCCATGTTTTTCTTTTCATGTTCTAGAGATCAGAACAGTAAAAAGGAGTTTTACCTGGCAGCCATCTGAAGCTGCGTTCTGATTGGTCAGCCGGGTGTCGATGAAGCCTCCGGGAGGTGGCATTTTGCCTGGGATGTTGTTATAGTACGGATGTTCTGATGACTCCTCTTCTTCCTCTGTCCATGGCAACTCCTCCATGTTTAATACCCTGAGAACAAAAACACAAGCCTTTATTTACAAAGTTTTAAATTGTATGTTCCTTTTATTACCAGAGATAATGCGAATGTTCTGATTTGTGAATCACTAGAAGCCCATAACTAAAACCAGACGTGATAACTGATCTGGATCGCACCAACCTGTCATTAACGGGGGGCAGCTTGCTGGAGGGACACTGCAGGTACTGCTGGAACCGAAGGTCGAAAGCTTGGCCGATGGTGCCGATGACATCCTGAGCCAGTCCATCGGGGCACTCAAGGATGTGGCAAGCTGATGAAGGTGAGAGCAACACATTACAGAACGCGCTGCCTAATAATCCATTATTTTTTGGTCATTCAATTTTCATTTTGAAAACGGATATTGAAAAGCAAAAAAAAAAAAAAAAAGGATAATTATTCTATTTTCAATTCATACTCCAAAAATGAAAAACAGTCCGTTGTTTTATTTTTCTCAAACCAGAAGCTCCACCTTAAATGTCCTTATAAAAAGGGATGAAAAAACATGTTTAACTTTATAACAAGCTAACCAGACAACCATAATAAATAAAAGCCAGCTTACTAGTTTTACATTTCTTTAAAAGGTGACCGCATATAGTTTGTATATCACTGATGATTCAAACTGTTTCTTGGAGCTTCAGACATAAAAGAAGACCATGATGAGGAACTGGAAGGTTCCACAGAACAGCGCTGAGTTGATGACGGTGCCAAACTTCATGTTTGAGAAATAAAAAAAAGACAGTTTTTTTCTGTTTTTGGAGTTTAAAATGAAAATAGAATAACCATCCACTTTGGTTTTCAATATTTATTTTTAAGCATGTCCAAAAAGTACACGGACCCCTAACAGACAGCCCACTCAGCATCGGAGAAGAGAATTCTCACCTCTTCGGTTAACGGGATCCTTCGCTACATAGGCAACATAATCTGTGGTGTCCTATAATAAAAGACATGACTTGTGAAATCTAAACATAAGTTAATTTTTATTAAACTAAGCGCAATGGGCCTCATGCAAGAACCGTTCGTACGCACAGATTTGTTCTTAAATTGTGCGTACGAGTGATTTAGGAGAATTTGTGGCATTCACCAATGTTTTCGTATTCTAAGATTTTTTTCAGATACGAACAAAATTTACGAGAGGTCCAGACCTGTCGTATATTTTACGAGCAGTCAGTCTGCTGTTATCAAGACAGGTTTTCTTCATTAATAACTTTATATTTCATTAGTTTGAAGATATTTTGAGTTGAAAATAAATTACACTCCATAATTATGTTGACAATAGGCTATTCTGCTTGAATTAGAGTTATAATTTTAAATGTAATAATTTAGACTAACAATATAAAGTGTCCGTTCGTCCGTTTTCCGCCGCTTATCTGGGATCAGGTCTCGGTGGCAGCAGCAAAGAGACCCAGACCCTCTCACAAGCGACACCTTCCAGCTTGTCCTGGGGGACTCAAGACGTTCCCAGGCCAGAGGGGATATATGATCAAGTCCTGGATTTTCTTCAAAGTGCCAGACTTATTTTGAAAACATTTTAAAATGCTTATTTCAAACCCGCATCTGAGACCATCTGCGACCGCGCAGCGCGCGCCGGGGGGGGTGGATACGGTGCGCAGCGCTGTGTCTTCTGAATAAATGAAAATGATTTAATACAGTTGTTTATACTTTTAGCAGCTCTTTTTATTCCACAGCTGACCTGCTAAAAATGACAGATTTTCTTTTCTGGATCTCTGACAGACGGACTTCAATCTCTGAACTTGTAAAGTTTTTATTTTTTTAGTTTTCGCTGTCATTTTTCATGAATGAACACTTGTATCTGAGGCAGGAAACACAGCCTTATTTGGTGTTTTTGGGGTGGTAATTATGCTAATCTCCTCTCGTGTGCACGAGCAGCTGGATACGAACAGGTGGAATTTACGCAGCTCATTTACACACTTTTCCTGAAGATAGAAGAGTTTGTTGAATCTGACGTGACATGTTCGTACGAACCCTTCATACGAACAAAAGTAAGAGAAATTTAGGATAAGAATATGAACATTTTCTTGCATGAGGCCCAATGTGTTGAACTTTTTCTACATGCTAATGTTAAGAACATAAACTTACAGGGTCTCCACCTGAAGCAAAGGAGATGGACTGCATGTGATGGTTGGCTATAATCTGTGAGATTAAAAAAGAAGATAGAATCCATTTTAATTACAGGAACTACATACATAAATACAAACATGATTTATGATCTTTTAATAACTTGTAAAATAAAACATGTACATGTTACAGTATATGTGGTTTCCAGTAAATTTGTGAGACACTTTTCTACAGAACATCTCATTAAATTAGTGATGTAGCAGAATTATTGGTTGAGACTGACCTGTTTGCAGTCAGGAGTCATCAGGTTGAGGCTACTGGTGGAGATATTAAGGTTGATGGACATGCCAGCAAACTGAAGATTACTCTTTCCTAAAATGCTGGACAGCGCTTTGGATGGTGGCTGAGAAAAGAGAGTGAAAAGTTTTAATAAATTCAGCTTTGGTCTGTCTAAAGAGCTGTTACTTTTTGCTTTTTAGCTCATTTCTGAGCATGTGCATCTAAATGCAGCCATTACCTTAACATCACCTTATATAACAGAACTGTTTGAAAACAATAGGTTGACCTTAATACTAATTATAACCACATGAATTATGTCTATACATAGCTGCATAAATGTGACATGTTAAACGTTTAAAATAGAAGAGAAAAGGCCAGATAAAACGAGTTAACATCCTCTGTATTAGGAGCTAATGTGTGTTTGTTTGGTCCACAGTCAAAATAACATTATCTCAAACCACACATCCATTCATAGAAACTCGCTTGCACCGATTCATTTTCCCTTCCATGACATTTGAGCAAGCTTTAGAGAGCAGAGTAATGCTTCATTTAACACCTCGCATTAAGACACACACACATTCTCCTTACACAATGCGGATACACACCATTTGAACACACCAACGGGATACAAATGTTCACTCACAACTGCACACATACGCACACACACACACCAGCTCAGTCTCCTGATCACAGATACTGTGAACTACATGAGTCACTAAGCACTGTGCAGTGTGCTGTGGGCTGGAGCTGCACCCACGCACACACAGATCCCTGCCTCTTCATCTCTCTTCTCTGCCTCGTTCACATTCAGGAAGGAAAAAAGGACAACATACAGATGGGGAGGCTATATATAGAACATTGAAGGGTAAATTAATATCTAATGCCACTTCCTCCTTTTCTTCTAACGGTATAATTTCACATGAATTCTCCTGGGATTGCTACCCCCATGTTAGTCCTTCCTCCTTCCCCTTTCTGTCCACCCATGTACCTTCCTCTTCCTCAGAGCTCCTTTGGTCCCAGGAACAGCTTCACACAACAGGCTGATGGCTTCCCTGAAGAAAAGGTGAGACAAAGATGAAGATCAGAGCCAAAAAAAAAATCTTATTTTACCCAAAGGTTTAATCACAGTGGACATTAATATTGTTACTTTATTTAAAAATATATATATATAATGAAAAAACAGGGTTGGGTTAACTTTTTATTATAAAGGTAATAATTTGCTAATTAATACAGTGGGTTACAGGAAGTCATCAAAAATATACAGTTCAACACAAATAAATACTTATCCTGTATTTGATAGTAACTAAATAGTAATTAGACTATTTGCATTTGCTTATGTGTGAATGCTTGGTGATAAAAGAGTTTAACTGTATGGCTAAAACAGCTTAAACTAGCCTAACAATAGCAAAACCCTAATTCTAAGGGTCTGTGGCTGCATGACCCAGAGCACCTGTTCTCCTATGTTTGTTATGTTCTGTCTTCTTCTGGATGTGTGTTCTGAACTGTAATTTCATTTTGCTCTGAACAATGACAACAAAGATCTATCTAATCTAATCTAATCTAAAAAAGTAGCTCAAATAGCTGAAATAATACAAAGAAACAGAAAGAGCCGTTTGCTGAAATTGCCGTAAGCACTGAAATTATTACATTAAGGTGAATTTAGCTGAAAAAAATCTCAAATCAGCTAAAAAAATGGCTAAAAACACACGAAAGATTACATTAAAAGAAAGCTGCTGAAAGAAGCACAAAAAGCTAAAAAGCAGACGAATGTCACAAAAGCAAAAGAAGCAGAAAAAAAGCTAAAATCAAACAAACAGAAGAAGAAGCTGAAATTAATACAAAGAAGTTTAAAAAAACAGAACCCGAACAAAAAGTGAAAAGGGCAGTAAAAATTTATAAACTTTTTAAAGGTGTAGACTCCATGAATTTATATTGAGGAAAAACAAGGTTGAAAAAGCTTCCTGTGGAACTAAAAGTCATATCTGGAATGTCCTGAAGGAGCTGAACGTTTTGATTTATAAATTGTTGAAATGGCACAAAAAAATTGCAGAATGAGATACATGTCAAAAAATGTTTTGAAGAAAAAATGATATCAATTGTGTGAATGCTTTATAAGCATTCATACAGTTAGGTTCTAAGTATTTATAAAATGATGATAAAACAACAAAAAGTGGCAAAGTATTTGAAGAAATAAACTTCTGGGGGCAGTTGTTTTAGGTAATTATTATTTAAGACAAATCAAGTCCTGGTGTCCAGTCGCAATAATGCCACTTTCTGCATTCTAACAAATCTACGAATAGAATAATTCTTTCTTTCTCACTCTGAACTAAAAAATAAAACTTTACTGAGGAAGTGAATACAGCTTTGCTGGCTACTGACACCAAGCTCAGGAAGTCAAGCAGAAAAGTGAACATGACACTAACTGATTCCCTCCCTGCCTGCGCCTCGCTGCACATCACTTAATGATTTCAAAGATACTTGTACCCTCATGGAAGTCACGGAAAAGCTAAGCAAACAAAATGTCCTGAATGTACTTAAACATTCTTTATTACAGTCCCTTTTGCACTGTTTGACATGAAGATATGTCCAGTAATAAAATAGTAACAGTATTACTCTAGAAACATACAATTAAGCAGCATTTTCTCATTTCAGGAACATTAAAGTTGAAAGGTTTTACTAATGGATTTGGTGCCTAATTGTTTTTTTATTACCTAGTGCTATTCATAAAAATAAAACAACTTTAAAATGTCTTTGATGAGATCTTTTGCTTGTTGCCATTTTTCTGAATTATCTTGTTTTTTCCCCTGAACTTTATTCTGACAATAGTCATTGAGTCATTGTTGGCCTCTGAGTCACTTTAATCAGAGTGTGTTTGCGGGTGTGTAGGGGTGTGTACTGGTTTCTACTGCAGAGTGAGGACCATTTGCACCATAGTTACTTTCAAAGGTCTTTGATATAAAGTGAGGACCTCTTCAACGTCCTCACTTTATTTGCAACTCCACTGTGCTTTACTAGTTAGGTTTAAGGATAGATTTAAGGATAGATTATGTTTGAAGATATTTTGAGTTGAAAATAAATCACACTCCATAATTATGTTGACAATAGACTATTCTGCTTGAATTAAGAGTTATAATTTTAAACGTAATAATTTAGACTAACAATATAAATTGTCCGTCAGTCCGTCTTCTGCCGCTTATCCGGGATCGGGTCGTGGGGGGCAGCAGAAAGACCCCGCTCTCCCCAGCGACACCTTCCAGCTCGTCCTGGGGGACAGCAAGACGTTCCCAGGCCAGAGGGGATACAAAATCCCTCTAGCAAGTCATGGATTCTCTCCAAAGTGCCAGACATATTTTGAAAACATTTTAAAATGTTTTCGGTGCGTAGTGCTGCGGCTTCTGAATAAATGAAAATGATTTAACACAGCTGTTTATACTTTTAGCAGCTCTTTTTATCCCACAGCTGACCTGCTAAAAATGACAGATTTTATTTTCTGGATCTCTGACAGACGGACTTCAATCTCTGAACTCGTAAAGTTCCTTTTTAGTTTTCGCTGTCATTTTCATGAATGAACACTTGCATCTGAGGCAGGAAACATAGCCTTATATGGTGTTTTTGGGGTGGTAATTATGCTAATCTCCTCTCGCGTGCACGAGCAGCTGGATACGAACAGGTGGAGTTTACGCAGCTCATTTACACACTTTTCCTGAAGACAGAAGAGTTTGTTGAATCTGACGTGACATGTTCGTACGAAGGGTTCGTACGAACAAAAGTAAGAGAAATTTAGGATAAGAATACGAACATGTTCTTGCATGAGGCCCACTGACTTTGGCAACTTACCACAAATGAACTGATATATTAAACACATCACTGTTTTCATTTAATAAGTAAAACAAGGTTGAAAAAAAAATCAAATTTAAGTTAATTCTATGATTTTCTGTTCAAAGCCATAGTTTAATTTCTGTCTTCTTGCTTGCTCTTTTGTCCAAGTTTTTAGCCATGTAAGATGTTACCGTGATGATAATAATAGATTTTGTATCCTTGGACAATAAATGTGAATTATTTAGGTCAAAATAATTTTAAAGAAAATGGTTCAGTTCAGTTAGGAAAGACCCAACCTCAGATTCAGAGGTCACGTTCAGAAGGTGCTCTGTCTTGCTACAGGCAATACCTGACTAAAGAGCAATATTAGCATGAAAATGTTAGAAAAGCACCAAATTTGAGTTTGCAAAATTAAATTACATTATAATTATAGGCTGAGGTGAGTTTTGAATTGATTCTGACTGAACTGAATTGGACTGTATATTGTTATGTTGTATTTGAAGTTGGTCCAGATTACAATGAATTGTAAACTGGCTTTAAAGTTAATTTACTCTTTTTGTGAACAGGGTCAATTCACGGTGGCTTAGTTTGTAGAGTTGCTGCCTCTCTGCAAGAATGTTGGTGGATGGAATCCCGGATCAGGACCTTTCTGGGTAAAGTTTGCATATTCTGTCCGTGCATGTGTGGGTTTTGTCCGGGCACTTCGGCTTCCTCTCACAGACCAAAACATGGCCATTCAACTAACTGGTAACTCTAAATTGTCCCTAGGGGTGAGTGAGAGACTGAATGATTTTTTGCCTCGTCTATATCTGTGGTCCCTGTGATGGACTGCGATCTGTACAGGGTGTATACAACCCCTCGCAGAATAACGGCTAGATATGGGCACCAGGGACCCCCATGACATGGAAAGGAAGAAGTTGGTAACTGTGTTGGTTTTTTTTATTTTTAATTTGTTTTTTTTTAATTTACTGTCATTTATCCAGGTAAATCATTTGCTTGGGCCTCCCTTGAAAGGTTAGGGGGTGGGGGAAACCAGAGCACCCGGAGAAAACCCACACAAGCACGAGGAGAACATGCAAACTCCTCACAGAAAGACCCCAGGTCCGAACGGGGGGATCAAACCCAGGAACTTCTTGCTGCGAGGGGTCGTGCTAACCACTGAGCCGTTGTGCTGCCAAAGAAAGGATTGGATGGATGGATGGATGGATGGATGGATGGATGGATGGATGGATGGACTGAGGTTGGTGGTGCTGTTAGCTAGAAATGCTATGCAGAAGAAGGTTGTTGAACAGACTCAAAATAAAATAATTTGCAGCTGAATTAAACTGAAAATTTCAGGCAGCAAAGCTTCAAGAGTAAAATTATAAATAAGGTGATATTTGTAACTCTCTAAAACATAATGCACTGTAATGAACTGCCATTATTTAAGTTAGCATAATTGTATGACATTTTTTTTATTTATGTTTAAACTGTTTTCTTGTAATCTCAAACAGGTTGGAACTAAAATCAATCCAACTTTTCTTCTCTGGCTCCTAAAAAGGTAAAGAACTGAGTGATCAACATGACTGTGTTGATATTGGTTCATAAACAGCTTTGTCTTGGGTTATTACAATGTTGATGGTGAAATTTTAGGCAGTGGCCACACAGTACCACTTACGATGTCTGCTTAAGAGTTTTAAGTTCCCTTTGTCCCCCCCCCCCCACACACACACACGCATACATCTGTGAAACCAATATGTTATGAAACTGCTACTTGTGTAAACTGTTGCAACAGGCAGAACAAACTGCAGAACATTGTGTGAACAACACGAACTCTAAATATCACTTTGTCCTTTCTTGAGCTGGATTTTAGTTTGTTCATTCCAGTCAAAAAATCATCCCAAAATGCTTTATAGTCACATTTAAAAGACATGTTTTAGTGACACCACAGAAAATGCACACCCAAGATAAAGTAGCAACATTTTCCAATAAACCACAAAACATGGTTTTAGAGGAACCTATTTAATTTGACTGGTAGCTTATTGCACATACAAAAATTACCCAACAGGCTTTAGCTACTTAAACAGAGGACTCATTCTACTAACAAATGTTAGAGCAGAAATAAATTAAGTACCAGACTGTTTTTATATAAATTATTAGCAATAAGTTATAAAATCTGAACTGCCACAGGAAAGCGTTATGTGTAAACATACCTAGTTATCTGTGACCTCGTGGTGAAATCCAGGGATCTCATCGACCGCAGGACCTCTATGCAGCCCAGATACTGAAAAGCAAGATTAAAAAACTTTGAATGGCCTTAACAGGAAATAACATGTTATTATGTTCAAAGAATCTCACTTTTCTGTGAATCATTAATACAAAATAACATGGTTTTTGTAAACAGTTTTGGGTGTAAATACTAGATCACTGTACATGCACAAAGTTACAATGAGATGCCAAGTAGCTGGAAAAACACTTACAAAGAAAGTTAGTGTAAAACTTCAATAAAAACATAATTGCAATGATTTGCAATGCTCTTAACCTCATAACTTGCTGAAAATAAGTTAAAAAGAAAAAAATTGTATAGGTCTTCTGGACGGGTTCTTCTCTAATGAAACGTTTCGTCTCTCCTCCAAGAGACTTTTTCAGTCTGAGAGTTTCAGGCAAAATTCAGGCTTTTAAGGCCTGCCTCCAGGTGACTGATACTCACATCACATGGCTATTGTTGACACCTAATTAACACCTATTGTTAACAGGGGTGGAGTGATACTGGCTATAGCAGCGCTGTAGGAGGGGGACAACTGAAAACGGAGGCCCCCCACCTCTGTTTAATGATGGACAGTCTTTCTTCACAAAAATGGCTTCTTTTACTCCTCTCTCAAACCAACGTTCCTCTCTATCAAGAATGAGAACATCCTCATCTCTGAAAGAGTGACCGCTGGCCTGTAAATGAGTGAAAACTGCAGAGTTCTGGCCATTAGACGTAGCTCGTCTGTGTTGGGACATTCTTTTGAACAGTGGCTGCTTTGTTTCCCCGATGTATAACTGGTCGCAGTCCTCCTGGCACTTAACAGCATATACAACATTGCTCTGTTTGTGCCGGGGCACCGGATCTTTGGGGTGAACCAGCCTTTGCCATAATGTGTTTTGGGGTTTGAAAGCCACTGGGACATTATGTTTAGAAAATAAACGTCTCAGTTTCTCCAAAACACCCGCAACATACGGAATAACCACTGGTTTGGGTCTGGGTTTGGGGTCTTCATTTTCACCTGAAGGTTGCATGGAGTCCTGTCTGTGTTTCCTGTCTGCTTTCAGGAAAGCCCAGTCAGGATAACCACACTGCTCCAGGGCCTGTCGTGTGTGTGATTTCTCTTTCTCCCTGGCTCCTGGGTTTGTAGGGACACTGTCTGCTCTGTGGTACAGAGTCCTGATCACTCCTAACTTGTGTTCCAGTGGGTGGTGGGAGTCAAAACGCAAATATTGGTCTGTGTGGGTGGGCTTACGATACACGCCAGTTTCCAACCGTCCTCCATCCAAAACAGAGATATCGCAATCCAGGAACGCCAACCTGCCATTTTTTACATMCTCTCGTGTGAACTTAATATATTCATCCACAGAGTTGATGTGATCAGTGAAATGTTGGACTTCCTGGGCTTTAATTTTAACCCAGGTGTCGTCAACATATCTGAACCAATGGCTCGGTGGCACCCCTGAAAAGGACATCAAGGCCCTCTTTTCCACTTCCTCCATGTACAGGTTTGCAACAATAGGAGAAACTGGGGATCCCATGGCACACCCATGTTTTTGCCTCAAAATAAGTTGTTTTTCTTTCAATTGTTCCCTTCTTCAGGGGTCTCTACAGCAAGTGAGCTGGATGTTCTTCCTGACACAACTTTCACTCAATCCTATAAATCTGCAGCTCTGACCACCGAGTTACCACTGCCCAAAATGGAATAAAATTAGCATACAGTATCAAAAAGTTTAAACTGAGAAATTGTATCTTTTTCATATACTGTTATTTTGAATTTTATAGCAGCAACGCGTTTTTTTAAAAAAAGTTTGGACAGGCATGGCCATGTTTACAGCTGGATAACAGACACTGAACGCTGGAGATTTTGGAGATTTGGAGGAGAATGTTGTCCCATTCTTGTCTTATGTAGAACTCTAGTTGTTCAACAGTCCTGAGTCTTCTTTACAAGATTGTCTTTATCGTATTGTGTCAAAACAGTTTCAAATGGTGAGAAGTCTGGACTCTCAACCACTTGGTGCTGTACAGCTGGGCCAGTTCAGCAACCAGACACAAGGCGCCATGTTGTAATGAAAACAGTTTGTGGTTTTACCACTGTTTTGCTTTTTTTGGGCATTATTGGTGCCTTTCCAGATGTGCAAGCTGCCCATTCCGTAGGTACAAATTAATACCATGATAGAAGCACTAGCTTTTTTACAAGTACTTGTACAAAATACCAAAACCTTTATCGATACTGGGATAAGGATATCAATACTCCATTGCATGTGTTATAGTTTAGATTTGAAGTGAAAGGTTTCGTCAGTTCCCTGTTTAAAAAAATGTATGCAAGTTGAAAGAAAATCTTGTTTGTTTCTGTTTATTTTAATATATATATCAACTGTATAAATCTTGCTGTACATTTGATTTGATCCAGTCAAAGGGGCTATAGGTCTATAGTAAAAGGAAATATGTTTTTAAAATCATTGTGTAATGTTTAGTTTAGGTACACACCGGTACCAAGTACTTGTTGAGTTAGAACCTAAAGTACTTGTACTCAGTTTAAGAAAAATTGCTATCAGGATAGCCCTACTTGTAACAGGTTAAAAAGGTCCATCTCTTTAAAATGAAGGACACAGAGGTCATGGTTTCTAAAAAGACTTTCAAGCCTTGATTTGTCTGACCACAGAACAGTTTTCCAGTTGACCATGGTCTGTTTCAAATGCCCCGTGGCCCAGAAAAGCTGGCGATACTTGTGGGTGGTGTTCACAAGCGGCTGCTTCTTTGCGCGATAGAGCTTTAACTTAAATGACTTTAAATTTGTTTAAAGACAATGATTTGTGGAAGTGTTTCTGAGCTGATGTAAATCTATGCTCCTCCAGCTGTTTATTTAACACTTAATTTTACAGCTTTTTGTTTTTCGTTTCCGCTTTGAGATATGGTTGTGCCATAAAATTCATAATTACCATATTTTTCCTAAAATAATATAATATCAGGGCTTAATCATTTGATATGTTTACCAAGTTTCCCTATGAATAAAATATGGGTTTATGACATTTGTAAAAATCCAATCCCATAAACGACAATGGCAATGTTATTGTGCCCGTTTGTTTGAACGCCTCAGACCAAAATGTTTCACTTTCATTCAGTACGGGTGTTCTGATATTATATGTCAGCAGTTATGTGTTCATAAATTTGTCGATGTCATGATTTCAAGTTTACAGTTTAAAATAGCCTCATATAACAAGACAGAAAGTATCTCAAAGCCAAACACAGATGATGCAAACTTGCAAAAAACTGGAGTCAAAACTTCCTTGCTGTAAAATTAATAATGTGTTGTTCCACAACGTTAGTCCTCCTATGCCATAAATTTATCTGCGGTCCCAGAGAGCTGCTCACATTACAGACGTCACACAACTGATTAATATTGCACAGGACAGGAACATTTTGTGCTGACAAGTTCCTATCGTTAGCAGAATCTTATTCATAATCCGGCTGTAAACAAAACAAATATTCAGACCATAATAGCGCTGCTTGTTTTTTTGTTTTGTTTGTTTTGTTTTGTTTTTTTAGAAATAGAACTAAGTTATTAGTATCATGAATATCAGATGACTTCTTGTCTCTCCAGTGAGCGATTTGCAACTTCTGGCAAACAAACACAAGTTTTGTCAACGTGACATTTGCAGATTTGTAATCTATTTTCGGAACATTGAAAAGTGAGCAGCTCGACTCAGCCGAGCCAAAAATATTCTGTATCAAACAGTTCTAAAACTGGAAGAGAAGATCAGTTCCAAGCACGACATAAAGACATTTCTTCTCTTTCTCATGGTGAAGCAATGAAAAACCTCCAAACTCACAATGTAAAGTTTGTCTTTGGATTTATTATTTATAGTCAATTCCCAGTATCCAATGCAACATGTTATTGTTAAAATACTTAAAAGCTACCAACCAAAATTTTATCTTGATATTTGCAAATTTTACAAAGTTATATCCATTTTTGTGCTTGCTAAGGTTTTACCTGTGGCAGTCATCTTGAATCAGGTACAGTTAGTACAGTTATTACATCCAATGATTATTTTGAGAGTTTTGCTAAAATCTGGCCAGTAATGTACATGGTATGAAGCTAAAATACAAATGAACTCATAGACACAAGAAATGACATTATAACCCACTCGCCATTTATGGGGTTTGGTGATGAAAAAAAAATTTGCAACCATTCTGTGCTGAACTGCAGAGTGTGTGTCGACAAAAAGGCCCACTCTGTGCAGTCTTGATCAAACAGATGGAATCAGTGAAATATTGACCTAATCCAAAGCTTTTTGGTTTTATTGGTTGTTTTTAAGGGCAAACGGTTGTACAACTTTTTCATAAATTGGCTGATTAGAAAAATCTGCAGAAAAATAAGTTATTTTGGATTATTGCAAACCCATGATGACCTATCGGTGATTTTACATAATTTCTAGTTATCAAGAAAACAAGAATCTCTACATCAAAATAAATAACTTATTCTGGTAAAAACACAAGCTCAGTTATAAATATATATAAATATATATCATGAATATACATTTCTAAGAATGTCCTCACTTTGCTGAAAAAAAGATAAATAACAAATAATATTATAACTAGATACAGTGACCTTACATGGAAGTTGAAGTCAAAACAACAGAAGCACAATAGGCTGGCTCAAGTATAATTATTAAAGATGCAAGTTATCAATTAATGAATTAATCTAAAGTTGATTGATCTTATCAACTGAGTAACGATTGATAAGCGGACATTTTAAAAAAAAGTTCTCGTATCAAGAGGGTCTTTCCATAACATGAAGTGCTATTTTTTATAATATGCTGAATTTTAAAAAAGTACATCATTATATTTTAACATTCTTTTGTGTGCCAACTGTATTCAATTCTGACTGAATAAACAAATTGTAGATTTCTCACACATTATTAAACTTGAAGTCATGTATAAAATATAACAAAAAACAGATGAAAATAAAAAAAAGAGTTTTTAAACTCTGAGGACAAAGTGGGTCTAACTGGACTCATGTTCTCTGTGGCTGGAACTGGTTTACTCTCTGGGGCAACATCATCGCTACACTTCATTCAACTTTTGCATCTTTTTATTTTCTTCTTCCTGTAGATACTTTGCTGCTTGATAAATAACTTTATCTCAGGGGGATAAAGGGAGGGTTATATGTTTTTAGGCTCATGAGATTATCTGCTGTGTTTCCTTCTCACAACACACATCAAACTGGACATCATTATAAATAATAATAAAGTGGCGTATGTGATTTATCAAAACTCAGGTTATACTTGGCCTAGCAACACAATTTGAAAACTGGGTTAAAGATTCAAGTCTCTACTTCTGACTCAGATTGAAAGAGTCTCAGAGCAGGCACATCTTTCCGGTCCGTCTAAGCAAACGTTATCAGTTAATCGAATGAAATGGATTTTAATCTAATAAACCATTAATAAACAATCATAATCCATAACACATTCATTGTTTGCATCCCTAAAACATATGAAGACAAACAACCATTCATGTCCTCACAAACATCTAGAGTTATCTATAACCGAAACATGCATGTTTTCAGTCTGTGGGAGGAAACCAGAGTACCTGGAAAAAACCCATAGGTGCACAGAGAGAACATGCAACCACCCCACCAGGCCAGGAAATGAAGGG